TTCCATCGTTTACATACTACATGGATTTTCAAAGTACTTGAACATTCAGGTTTTCTGCTTGTTCTTCTTCATTTTTTTCCATTGGTTCCAGCAGAACAACAGCAGGTGAGTGGCTTCCGTGCTATGCTTGTCAAATGAGCAGCCCTTTTCTGGTTAGCCTTTATCTCGTTGTCTGTTCGACCTTGAATCCATAACTACCAGAGAGCCATTTTCACGTAATAATGTGTGAGGTTTAAGGTCGAACAGATAGCGAAATTGAGGTTTAGAGGAAAAGGGTTAATGATTTGACGAGGCTTTTGCATGGAATTCAACACCTCAATATTGTTTAAAGAAAAGGCAACAAAGAAGGTCAGCATGAGCCCCTTTTGTTCTTTAATAATTCGTATTAAACCTAATAAACATATTAGTGATAAAAGGAATATTGTTCTCTCCGGTTGATTAAGGTTCGGACAATTTTATTTATAGGTATGTGTGAGTTTATCTAAATTTAAAATTAAATATATATACTGCTTTGTAATGGTATTAATAAAAAAAAACCCAATTTCCACTCCCCAGCGGCATCCCATGTTTGATCTATCTCTATCTTTCTATTAAAAGAAAATTTTCAACTAATTAGTGTACTAATAACATAGCAGATAACTCAGCGACTGAGAACTTTATCCCATTTAGTATAATTAGGGCTTCAACCATATAGTTCTTATCCTTTTATGTATACTAAAACAATGTGTTTTTCATATGTGAAAATGAGTTTAATGTATCTCTCTTGTATTTCTGTTGACCGGCAAAGGGATCAATAACCTTTAAGGTGGTAGAAAGGTGGTTCCTGTAGCTTTTTATTGAGATATTGATTTGTAGTGGAGAAGTGTGTTTGTCTTTCTACTCTTATTTGGATGGGTATTTATAATGTCATGTATAGGTGTCAATTAAAAGTTGTCGTGTCATTGATACTGATTAGACGTCTTAAGGAATGAGAGCATAAATTAGGATATTGGTGTATCGATACGTAGTCATTAGTAATGTTACGAGCTCAAATCCAAGAATTATTTACCAGTTATGGTAAAAGTTTATATAAATCAAACTTATTGATCTTTCAACAATTAATATTTGTAATTATTTCATTTAAAATTATGTATACATAAAGAAGTAGTATAATAATAATATTACTATTTCAAAACTAATTCTCAGTCCTTTCCATATGCATGCATTATGGCCCAAAGCTGTAGACTAACAAAGTGATGATCTTGATTTCCACAAGGTCCATTTATTCGTGTTAAATTAAAACAAATTTTTCTTCATTTAAGTATTGATTCAAGAAATTGTGATCAAACGCCTACAAATAAGTGAAGATCACGATTCTAAAATTTAGGATTTCAAAAATTCAAACATTAATTCACACAGGTTAATTTTGAAGAATTTAAAATTAAAAAAAAATTAAGATTTTATTTCTTGATTCAAGGACGTGAAATTTGATATTAGTCTACTTGAAAGATGATGACAAGTCCCAAAGACTTACGACCTCCCAGAATAAAAAAAAAAACAAAAAGAAGAATTGCAAATTTCTCAAGTATATCTTCTAAGGTTGAGGAAGAAAATTGAGAAAATAAAAAATAATAATTTGAATCAAATTATTCGGTTTAATTCAATTTAGATTTTTTATATTGTAACTCGGTTTAGATATTTAACTTCACAATTTAGTTCAATTTTTATTTTTTATATGAAATTGTTTGTTTCAAATTAAATTGAATTAAGAAAAGAAAATAATATCCAAATCAAATTATTTTTAAATATGTTATAAGATAAATTTAAATAAATAAAATCATAACTTAATAATAAAAATTTTTGCGTGAATTTTAATGTGTGTTTGCACTTGGTTTAAGTTTGAAGGTTGTTTTCTTTAGTTGTTGAGTTTAGAAAACGGAGAACATTTAAAAATCGAATCGAACCAAATTAAACCAAAACTTTTTACTTTTATATCATTCGATTTTAATTTTATTTTTAAAAAAATTACAGTACCGTTGAACTTTTGTTTAAAAATTAAACTGAACCATATACATATCTAACATCACCGTCAATTATCAAATCAATTTAACACTCCAATTTATAATCTTTTTAATTTGGCTCAAACTACGACAAAATTGTTAGAATAATGCAATGGAAAAATAAATTTGTTTATATCAGGCGGTGGAGAAACTATTTTTTTTCAAATAAAATGAATGTTACAGTGTTAATTAGAACTTGATAGAATCAAAAGACACCCGAAAAATACGACGTCTTCCTAATCTCTATGCATGACTCTGGTCAGATCTACACAATCGGTGAACACGAAAAATAGGGATGTTGTTGTTGGTGTTCTTGAGCTGGTCGGAGATGGTAGATTGATTGAATTTTTGAAGATTTTGATGGAACAGAAGGTGCGAGAGCAATTTCGCGCGCCATTGATGAAGCTTGGGAAAATTAAGAAGTCAAGCACATAAATTAATGCGAGAAGACGTCGTGCCTTTTAAAAAGAACAAAAATAATCCTGATGACTTCCAATTGACAGCGTAACATTTATCCTATTTAAAAAAATTATTTATCTATCAGTTTATATGAATAAATTTATTTTTCCATTGTATTATCTCAACAAATTTGTCCATGTAGAATATTTAATTTAATCCAATTATCAGTAAGAAAAATCAATAAAACAGCATTCTGTTGTCATGATCACAAATGATGGTTAAAACTGTTCCGTCATCGTTGAAGCAACTTTCGGCTTTTGCTTTCCACAAATATCTCCAACCTCTCTATATATATTAACCTGTGCTTGCCCTCTTCGTTCTCAATTCCACCATGCTAGGCCTTTAACACCACTGAAATATTATTACAGCAACATAACATTCATCGAGCTTTGGGGTTCTTACTTTTCGCACTGATTCTCAGATACTGGGTTGCTTTTTTGTTGTCTGTTGAGAAATAAAACTTGGGTCGGTGATGAAGGAGGCTGAAAGTGGTTTACCGTCGTATTATGATGTTCTGGTGAGTCAAGGTCGACGCTTCTACTCAAGATATCAAGCGTTCTTATCGAAAGCTTGCAATGGTAAGCTCTATTCTTCTTCTTCTCCTTTTTCCAGCTATGAACTAGATAGATGAGCTTTGTTTTGCTGGGTATTTTGGTGGTGGAAATTGATAGCAACTTTCCACTGTTATAAGTAGTTTGAAGATCATGAACTCGTGATTTGCTTGTGTTGTGAATATCGAGGGAGAAGCAATGGCATCAAGATAAGTGGACGGCAACACCTTCCCTCTCAACAGTTTTGCCAAATGAGCATTTGAAATCTATGCAGGGCTTTTCTTTTTTTTAAGGCTGAAATGCTGTCTCTTATGGCCCAAACGAGGGAATGAGGTATTGGATTCCTCCGAGTTTTATTCATCTTGGAAGCAGCGGAATCCATTAACATTTTTGTTGGGTTCATAACAGCTCATTCACCTTTAATCTAACACATGAAACCTTTTGTATTTCTTCAATATTATATATGTAATATTAAAATTTAAGTTAATCATTTAAATGATGAGAGAAGAGGGTGCTTTAAAAGGTTCATAGGAAGGTTCCAAGAGCAATGCTTGTGATTAATAACAATGATTAGGGAAGTTGACCCGAAGACGGTGTGCTTAGAGAAAGTGTGAGAATTAAGAAAATGGGACGGTGCCTTTTTTTCATCACCAACAACTAATACCAATTGTCTCTTATTCAAAGGGGCATTTTGTACAAATAAGTAAAGAAATTATTATTATTATTTTAGGTCTTGACTTCGAGCATCATATATATAAGTATTTAATAGTAAATGGTTGAGAGTCTTTCAACAGGTATTATCTTGTATTCATCCAATGGCGGAGCTATTGATTTTTTAGGATGGACACTAAAATTTGAATTTTCCTTGATTAACTACTTATTTTATTAATGGTGTCCTCCTTGTATTTATGTATGCTATATTCAAACTTTTTGTATTGTGAACATATGTATGCATACTTTTAAAAATATTTCAAAATTCACCATTGTATTCACCTCATACTAACTGAAAGAAAAAAAAAAGTGACTTTTTACAAACCCTTGAAATAGTTTCGGTGATTAAGAATATTTTATTATTTTTTGATAGCCCAAATTCGAGTAAAATAATTTGTACATGTACTTAAATTTAAATCTAGCTTTTTTTTAATAAAAAAGTAGCCTTTTGCATATCCAAAAAGCAAGTGGCCTTTTGCTCAATAGACCATTCATTAGCTTTTTTAATTAAAATGTACTGTTTATATATATAGATTATGATTTTTTTTATATTTTTATATTTTTTTAATAATTTAAAATTATTAAATGAATGAAAATAGATTATTTAGAAATATATAAGAAAATGGAGAGGATTATAATTAATGGTGATATGTGTGAGCTGTGAGTCACCACCATCTCCACTTGAGCTCCTCCTGAATAAAGGTCTAGTCTTATGGGGATATTGACAAACTGTTTGTTATTCCATGACCTTTATGCTCACACCTTTCATTACCCAATTATTCTTCGCTCTTTCATGTTTTTATTATAAACAGCTTTCTTTCGATTGTCACTAATTAAATTTTACAATTAAAATTACAATTAAAAACTTTTGATAATGCCGGTTTGATGCAAATGGATTAAGTTGGTATTATATCGATAGTTCTCTCATACAAACCCCAAATCAGTGGGCTATTCCAACTCCAATTTCGTATATATTTTCCCAGAAATATTTTCCCATGAGTTGCATGCAAATTGATTAATATTTGTGCATGTTAATTAGGTCATGTTCAATAATTAGCATGTCTCCCCAGATGCAATGGGAATCCCTTAATTAGGACACAAAGGGCAGCCAATCAATAAATGAATTAATAAAAGAGCCTTTAAGAACACGTCTCATTCCACTCCATTTTGCAATTCAACACATCTCCCTTTCGAGCCTTTCATGTGCCTATTACCATAACATCTTCCCCTCGTCTCCACCATGTCCACCAAAATCAACCATTTCAGTCCTCTGCTTGTGGCAGCAACCATCTTCTTTGTGATATCCACTGTTGCATACCCCATCCGTGGCTTCGAATCAAGGAAGCTTGACGAGAGCACCGTACCAGGTGATCAAGGCATCAAGTGTACCCCATCATGTGTACAACCAAGTCCTCCGCCGCCACCGCCACCATGCCCTCCACCACCGTCACCGCCTGTGTTGCCCCCACCTACACCGAAGAAGCCGCCAACCCAATACTGTCCGCCGCCACCTAGTCCACCATCCTTCATATACATAACTGGTCCACCAGGGAACCTGTACCCTATTGACCAAACTTATGGTGCTGCAAGCCGGAGATTTGAAGTGGGAATACTGGGTTTGGTATGTGGATTCTTAGTTTTTCTTGCCTGTTGAATTGGGTCTCCCAAGGATCTTGTTGTATATTGATATTGATCAAATCAATAATAAACATTTTAGATTTTTTTTTTTACTCATCATATTGGCCTGATTTTCGGTTGGTATTTCCTTCTTCTTATTGAAACGTAAAGTTTGTTCTGTGTTTGAAATTGGGAATTTAATGGATCCATAATCCAGGGAGAACAGAGGTTGGAAAGTGGCGGTGATGGGGAACAGGTGGCGTCTCCGCCTTGCACCGTCGTTTCCAATTGAAAAGGAGTTGGTTAACAAGAGAAGAGAGGTGAGAGGATTATAAATAGATGAAGTGAAAAGTGAAAAGCAAAAGAGAAGATTGCAACTATGTGATCTGATGATATGATATGTGTCAGAGTGGTGAGAGGATGAGATCAACCTCGATTTCGTCACCAACTCATGCTCCCACATTTTTAGAGCTTGGTTCATGTAGGGGATGAGTTCAGTTTTGTTTTTGGATTTTAAGTTTGAATTGAATTAAATTTTTAAATTTTAAATAATTAAAAATTATATATTTAGACTATATTATTGAGTTGATTCATGATTTTGTATTTTTCTTTATTTTAAGTCTATTTATTCTTACTAAATTTGAATTATATGCTCTTCAATCACTATAAAATATTTATGTATATTTATTTCCTTTTTGAAAAACAAAATTTTTCTTTATACAAATTAGTCACTTAACTTTTTATGGTTTTCTTATCTTTTTAATTCCTAATTTGTTTTAAGCCTATTTTTAATAAATTTGAACTGCCTACTCTCCTACTACTTATGGGTGGAACCAGACAGAGACTAGCAGGAGCTTTGGTCCGTGCCAATTAATTTTTTAAATGTTAATTAATACTGGAAAAATATATTTTTGATAAATAAATAAAATAAATTTTATCATGCCTCCTCAAAATTATATTTTTAAGAAATAAAAAAAAAGTACATCCTTTTAACAAATTCCTAATTTCGCCCCTGCTACTACTTTAGAGTACTATATAACGTCAATTCATATTTTTAACGAAATTCCTCCTTTTTACAATTTAATCCCTTAATTCTATATTTCTTTCGTTTTATTCATCAAATTGTAACTCTTTGTAAACTTTATTCTCATCAATCCATTGATTCATTTACAATAACAACAATACTTTTTTTTTTCAAAATATTGTGTAAGTAAGTTTTGTAACATTATTTAATAAAAATTATTTACATATGCGAGAAAGAATGTGGAGAAATATATGTATGTTGAATATAATTAAAGAGAGTTGTTTAAATTGGAACTAATTACTACTATGAAATTATAAATAATTACCTCTAATTTTGAATAGAAACTCAAACAAATATATTTAATTCGAATTGTATGATTAAAAAAATTCAAATAAAGTTTGAATAATAAAATCATATTCATAAACTCGATTTTTCTTCACTCAACTTAACTCGATCGAATAATCACTTTAATAATTCATTACATAAAAATTTAAGAGCAACAAGTGAAGCTTTGAAGGGAGGCAAGAGTCATAACTCATCAAGGATAAGTTGTTCCTATTGCTTTATGAAGATGTGGTGGATCTACTCTTCTTTTGCCAATTTGCCAAAGCTTAATTTCAAATTTAATAAACAAAATTTTCTTATTGCAAGGATGACAAATGCTACGTTTCAATCCTCTTTTCGAGTTTTGTCGTAAAAGAGGTCAGATTAAAAGGTTATGGTTTATTATTCATATCCTTATCTGAATTTGATAATTATTTTTTAATTTAATGTAATATTTTAATAATTAATAAATGGACTTGACACAAATACAATTCTTTGGTGATTTATATTATATGGGTTGTTTAATAATTTAACGAATTAATATTCTAAATTAAGAAGACATTATTCCTTATATTTCTTTTTATTATCATCTTATGAATAGAAGTGATAAACGAGTCGTTTAGATCAGGTTTGGATCAGATTATTTAGGTCGAGTCATTTTCAGATCGGATTTATATTCAATTCAAACTGATATGGATCAAGTTTGATTCGAACTTGGTTTGGATTTATGGTATGATTCATTATAAGTTATAAAATAACTTTTTTTTATATAAATTTGGATGAATACAAGGTAATGTTTTTTCAAATACTCTCAACCACTTGAAGGTGAATGCTAATAACAAATCTCTTAACCACTGAGATTGTTTGTTATGAAATATTTTTTTGTTGATAAATTTAGAGTGAATACAAAGTAGTATCTGCTTAAAAATTTCAATCATTTGATAATGCATATTGATAGCCCTATATACTCGGTGGTCGAACTCGAGACATTTAAAAATAATAATAAATTTCTTAATTATTTAATTACTACTAAATACAAGTTAATAGTTCTTTTTGGATTAGAAAGTTAATAGTTTATTTTTTGAGTTTGGAATCAATAATGGGGTCAACAACCGCACCATACGTCAAAACAAGTGCTTAAAGTTGCACCAAGAAAGATCAAAATCACTGGTCCACCGATACTATGAAAATAATAAACAAATAGTCCCCAATTTCACGTCTCTTTGCCACTAAAAAGGTTAGGTTTAGGTCTTCTAGGGTTGGTATTTGTGTGACCAAATTTATTCGTACAAATAATAATATTTTTAACCTTTAATCATAATAAATAAATAAAAATAATTATTTTTTAGTAGACTGAAATGATTATAATATAATATATATTGATAATCTTTCTTAATTATTGACAATATATATATACATTGCAAAAGCAACTGTTTGAACTTAAAATCTCAAAGGAAAACAATCTTTAACCACTAAGATCACTTAATAAACAATTTAAAAATAATTTTTAATGATGTCGAATATGAAAAAATAAAAATATTTGGATAATTTTTGTTGATAGAAGAAATGCATAGGGCTGTTAGAGGTTGATTAATGCTTTCAAAGCATTATTTTGAGAATATTGACTCCTAAAAACAGAGCATAATTTACACACATCATCAACTAATCCTCTGTTCTATTTAGTTTTATCATGCCATCAAAAGCTGAACTTTATTGAGCTCTCCAAAAGGACAATTTTCCTTGAAAGATGACACAAGTTCCAATCAATGCATGCAAAGTCCTACCTTAAAATATGTTAAATTTCATCGAATTTATAAACATTTACAAAGAAAACTGAAACAGATGGAGAAGAAAATAAAAATTACAAATGGAATCCTGAAGCTCATGTTGTCGTTATTATTGAAAAACAGAGGCCCCTGTTTTAGTTTCTCATGATGAATTTGAAACCACAAAATTCCATCTCTCCTATAAGCAACCTTCAACAACCCTTTCTTGAAAACAACTCATTGCTCATAATGAAGTCTTCATTGCAAAGTTTCAAAGTGCTATGGGGTCCAAAAATGTGACATTTCCCACATTGTTTTTGAGCTGTAAAAGGTGGGCTCTGTTTCATCAACTTGAACACAAAGGACACTAAGCAGCTAGGGCTTACTTTTCAATCCTTTAATTTCCTTTATTGGCTCTTTATATCCAACTTGACCTGAATGAACCCTTCGACACATATCACTCTCCTCTTTCTATCCCTCTATTGTTGGTTTCTATAACATGGCCAATACAGTACTTATCAAAGCTCCGGCTACCTTCTTCTTCTTCTTCTTCTTCTTCTTCGGTTTCTTTATTCAAACCAAGCAAGATAACCCATGTCCTTATCCATGTTACCCACCACCAACAGGCCCCGGAGGAGGCAGCGGCGGCGGAGGTGGCATAGTCACTCAAACACCTCCGGCCAGTTATTCACCGCCCTCACAAACAGGAGTATACCCTCCACCTACAGGGAACTTACCGATTTACACACAGCCACCACCTTATGGTGGCAATTCTTTCTACGGTCAGCCCCCTCCTGACCCTATCTTGCCTTATTTCCCATTCTACTATAGAAAACCTCCACACCGAACAGATGATCAGTCATCGGGAACAACAGTTTGGCCTGGGAAATCAATGTTCATCATCACTGCTACTATCAATCTTCTTGTATTTATCATTCTGCTTATTTCTACTTTAGGGAATTACTAGCCCGTCAAAAGTAAAAAGAAAAAAGAGTTTTTGTGTAAAAGTATTCATGATTAAGCCATGGTTATGGGAGTAATTAAAAAAAGGAGGGTTTGGTATGTGTTTTTAGTTGCAGAAAGGAAAGGTGTAGAAATGGGGAAGTGAAAGACAAAGGGATCGAGGAGTTGGTGGTGATACATGCACCTGTTTTTTTTTCTCCTCGACTCTTTTGATTGGTAATAGATGAGATGATTTTAGTATGTTTAATATGTAATTAAATTCCTCCAAAATCTACACGCGTTTGCTTTAAACTTTTTCTCGTTAATTTTTGATTGATTTCACAATGGATGATAATGCCAGTTTAAACGATAATGGAAAATGTCCTGGTTCCAAGTATTCTTTAATTAAAACTGTTCATCTTGGCCTTATTTTACTCCTTTTTGTCACTAAATTTCTCTTCATATAGGTAATCTGCAGACGAAAAGGACGTTTGATAAATCGACAATCTCGAAGCTTAAAAACCTTCATAATTTTAACTAGCTATGATTGATTTTGTAGCTTAATGAAGCTAAAAGAGCAATTGGTGAGTAAAAGAAGCATTTCCCCTTGTATTGAAAACTCTGAACCACCGGGCAAAATGTAGAGCTTTAGAGATTTCCAGGTTTTCTAATTATCTGATTTTTTACCCAAAAGTTCTCAACTTCAAATGCTATTCATTGCCATTTGAAAGGGTCAAATAATGGAAAAGAAAAGAGTTTCTAACCTGATAACAGTGAACCACTTGCCTCAAGTCTCATCTTTTTAGCGATGAATATGTTAGCAGGTGGTAGGTAAGGGCTACAAGCATCAATAGAGCCACCATTATTAACTGACTAGAATTCCAGCTACAGGCTGCATTACACGCTCCGTCATTTAAATTGTTTTGAGTATTTTTTGAAACACTACTCTCGTCAAACTATTACCGGCCTTGCCATTCTGCTATTTCCATTGCAAGGAATCTGGTTTTTGATGTAAACTCGACATTCCTGGTTACGGTATAAATTCAATGTGCATTTAAGGCAACACATGATTAGATAACGGGAAGATACTTGTATCGGCTAGGCTAAATGGGAAAGAAAAATGGGTGAAGATGAGACACCATGGCTGGTCATTTCAGGAAGCTACAATTGCCAAACAACCCATACTAGAACCACTGGCATTGGCAATTCCAGCAGTTCTCATGTTATTCTTCCTCATAACCTCTCGGCTATTTCTCTGGCCTCCCACTTTTGGCATGCCACCATTCTTATGATCTTTCACAACCTTACCATTCTCTGATGCTTGGTATTTTGGCAAATTACTGCCCTCTTTCCCTCTCTCTTTCTTCGAAAGGATAATGTTTTGTGTGACAGATGCCGGGGAGCCATGACTACCGGTTGGTGAAGTCGAGGATATGATGCCAAATTGAGATGATGACTCAATTGTATGGACGTTTGACTCACCTTCAAATCCACCAGCAGAAAGGACCTCTTTATTTGTTTCCAAGGAGAGTGATGATGACCTTGCAGTTGATCCCACTCCTGCATTTGCCGATTCCAGTCCTACTTTAGCCGGTTTCTTGGTAGATGATGCAGCCTGAGAAAGAAATAGAAGAAAGCCGGTATTAAATCTATTGACAAATGGAATAAAAATATGAAATAAGTGCTTTGGATTATCATAGGACAAATCACATGAAAAAGCAGCAAAATATAAAAAGGTTCATGATAAGTCGTACAAGTTAAACTTCCTATCAGAGCTGAGGCAAACTATGCTTCTTCTATGGAGCGGGCCTAAAATTACGTATCATGCATTTTACGTCATCAACCACTATAAGAATTCCCTTCTTTGACTGCATCATTCGCATGGTGTAACTAATTTCAGATTCTCTCATATCTTATAAGAATTTTCTTCAGACCCAAGGAATTCTACTAAAGCCAACATGAAAAAGTTGCAAACAAACAACAAAGATCCAAAACCCTATAACAACTGTGCAAAGAACAAAATATAAATATTATCTTTTACCACCATTGCTTCAAATAATTAAATAAATTGTTCCACATGAAAATGTCAAAATATTATATGCTTTTTAAGAAAATTAAAGAAGAAATAAAGAGTCAATGAGTCACTAAAGCTATTAGCTAGACTATATTACATATGGGACACCATAAGAACCTCCAAGTTAGACATGCACACATGAAGGCATGCTTCCTTGAATTAATCACACAGAAGACATGGACTGCATTATAAAATCAAAGCAATAGTTTAGCTTCAAATGTACCTTGTTTCCATTAGACCCTGGTGCTGTGGCAACCTTATAGAAAGAAGGCATGGGTTTTGCTTTGAAATTAAGGCTTTTCCGCAATTGCTCAATTTCAGCCTCTGTCTTCTCGTGCAATAGACCAAACAATTCAATTTATTTATAAAGTTAGCAACCACGAGAGAATAACCATGAATATATTCAGAGAGTGGAAAAGCAAAGCGTCCAATCCAGAAATGTCAGCAAGGTCCTTCATTTCAAATACTACATAGAGGAATACCATTTCATCTTCATCTAAAATAGTAAATAGTTAATATTGTATGCTCCCCTTACCTGTGTTTTTGCTTGAATCTGATTCATCTCAGCCTCTTTGGCATGTATTTTCTCTTCCAATTTCATTAAGAACTGATAACATTTTATGACAAAAAGAACAAAGACATTATTTTATCCTTAAACTAAATAATTTTTAAGAAAAAGTTTGAGAATGACAGCATGCTTGCTTGCCTCTTTTCTCCTTTCAGCTCGTTCACCACTTTTGAAACGGAATGACCCAGCAGTTGGCTTTACATCTGCCTTAGTTGAATTGACAGTCTGCTTAAGCCTATATAAAAGAATACGTTAAGGTTGATATTCAATTTTTTATAACATAAAGCAGTGCCCACCATGTTGCTACAGACCTATTTGGTGTCTGGCGAGTAACAGGTTCAATCTTTTTCAATGAAGAAGGTCGAGCTTCAATTACTTTCTTTGTCACTGCTCTTTTAATACTGTCAGAAGAATGAAATAATCAGTTGAACTGTCCCTACAAAAGAAACATGCATATTATTCAAGTGCAAGAAATAGGAAGTACCTTTTATGCTCGGTGCTTAAGTTTGCATTGTCTCTCTCAAAATACTGGACAAGAAAGACCAAGGAAAAGGGGATTGAAATAGCAGTATGAAATCTTAATAAAAGTGGTTAACAGAGAACAAAAACTAGGCAATACTGATGTTGTCTTTTTCATTTAACTTTTAAGTCGAAGTCCAAATTTTCACCTCTTTCTTTGGAGATCTGTGCATTATAGTAGGAGTGGCAGTTCGTGATGGTAACTTTTCTGCTTTTGTTCTCCTTGATATATCTTTTTCCTTTCTTTCTAGAGCCCTAGCAGCCACTTTTGAAGGATCAGAAGAAATGTTTTTCCGGGAATGATCGGGACTCATTTGAGACTTCAACCTCGGTTTAGTAGCTTTTACAATAGTAGTCTTCAAATAGAATTAAAAAAATAAAAAAGTATAAGCTACAAGTAGGTAAACACAAGACAAAAAAAATGCAGGTATCACATCAGAAAACAATGTGAAATAAGTTTCTGGCTACTGCAATGAATGCTACTTTTCAGAAACCAACAAGAACTAATATAAATATAAACACATACCTTTGGTGAATGACATTGTTGAACTTCTAACTTAGCAGTATCAATTTGTTGAATTCCTAACTTAGTATCTACTTCTCCAGTGGTTCCAGAAATGGGAGACGGATCCCTTGCCTCAAGTGATTCATCAATGCTAACTGCTTCGTTATCATGGTTTTCCTCCACTTCTTTCTCTAGTTTATAGTTTCTACTAAGTGGCTTATCACATTCAATATCACTTTGAGGACTCTCAGGTTTAACATCCCCAGGAACCAAAACATGAGTTTCATGAGTGGATAAATCTTCAGGATGTTCTCTCCCACATTCAATCAATGCACCCTCCCAAAGATAATCTGAATCTTCAGGACTATTGTCAAAATGAGCACAAAGGCTATCTTCATTCGCATGATCAGACTGATTCCCTTCATTTTCATGATCAAATAGCCTTCCTTGATTCCCACAACAAAAATCTTCCCCATAATCTGCATAATCCAAGCCATTCTCATCAGAATGATTGTAATAGCTATCTTTACTTAAACTATCAGATTCTTCTCCATATGACTTGTTCTCCGCAGCATGGTTCCCAACTGTTTGATATTCTCCATAACCCTCATTCGTCACAGCACCATTCTCACAGGTTTGACCTTCGCCTCCATTTTGGCCCTCAGATGAACCTTGGAGAAGACGCGCCTTCCTCCTAAAGTGAGCTTCAAAATAAAGCTTTCTTCTCAATAACTGAACCAGGTTTTGAGAATTTCTCAACTTCTTCAAGATATCTATTGTGTGAGAAAGAGGATCTTCTTTCCCAAGCTAAGGGTTCATTTTCAAATCTGCCAAATGATACAGAACCAGAATGCAGAGATTCTGTCTGCCCAGTTCAAAAAAGAGTTGGAGTTAGGATAAAACAAGTAGGTGCACTGGACAAATTATCTGCTACAGTATAAAGAAAATTGTATTTTATCAGTCATTTCATGGATCAGAAATTCATAATACAGGTTAGCAAGACAACATTCACCAGCACTTATATGCTATTGGGAGGTACTTGAGATACTGTAAGCAATTAAAGCTAATAACAATCTTTCATAGATTTTCAAAGTTTCAGGAAAAATATAATAGGCATTCCTAATGGCACGATCCTGGTGCCATAGACAATTTGAAATTTGAAAAGGAATAAGTAACTTATCTAATAATATAATTTTCTCTGTTAGTATCAAAACCAGTAGCTAAAATGCATACAGTATCCTAAGGATAACTGCAGTTCTTTGTCCGAAATTGGCATTCATGTTCTCCATATCCTACCTCTCAACATTACATCATTCATTTAAAAAAAAAGGATCCTCAACATTACAATCCAAATCCAAT